CCCCCTCCCTCCCTCTCTCCTTCCTTCCTTCCTTTCTTCCTTCCTTTCTTTCTGTTTTTTTCTTTATTTTGTTTTGTTTTTTGAGACAAAATTTCTCTGTGTAGCTTTGACTGTCCTGGAACTCACTCTGTAGCCCAGGCTGGCCTCAAACTCATAGAGATCCCCCTGCCTCTGCTTCCTGAGTGTGCGCCACCACTACTTGGCTTTCTTTTCTTTTCTTCTTCATCTTTCCTTCTCTTCCTCCTCCTCCCTCTGCCTTTCCCTCCTCCTCCTCCTCCTCCTCCTCCTCCTCCTCTTCTAGAAGGCAGGATTTCTTCAGTGATGTCCTGGAACTCACTTTGTAGACTAGGCTGGCCTTAAGCTCACAGAGATCAGGTTGCCTCTCTGCCTCCTGTATGCTGAGATTAAATGTGTGCTCCATCATACTCAGCTACTATACTATTTTTCTAAGAGGAAAGTTCAAAGCGTCCCACAACAGAAGAGGGCAAGCTGCATTGTTAAGACAATAATCTTCCATTAGAATGGTTCAGCTGATTAGTTTTTCCACAATGAACACTGTAACAAATCTTTTTCTGTTCTTCCAGTCAGCTCCCAAATAATGACATGGAGATTTCTTATTAATTATGAAAGCTCGGCTTACAGCTTAGGTTTGTTCCTAACTAGCTCTTATAACTTAAATTAGCCCATTTATATTACTCTATGTCTTATCAAGTGGCGTTACCTGTCATCCATTTTGCACCTCCTGTTTCCTTTCTGTGTTTCCTGGCATTTCCCACGTGCCTAGGTCCCTCCTCCTCTTCCTTTCTCTCTCCGGAAATCCCACCTATACCTACTGCCTGGCTACTGGCCACTCAGCTTTTTATTACACCAATCACAGCAATACACCTTCACACAGTATGCCACAACAGAACACCAAAAATCCTGTTTCTAATAATAAAGAGGATATTAGGTATTTACTATCTACCTGTTCTACTGGTCATAAGCAATGGACAATAGATAAGGAACTTTTCCAGGAAAGCTGTGTTAGTAACAGATTCAGAAGATAAATGAACAACTGAGTCTAAAGAAGGACAAAAACCCATATGGTTGCCTGGTTTTCAATAGCGGCAATTCTCAAAGGATGCATTCCACTTGATAAGTTTTTGTTGGAGACTTGAATTTCCAGTAAGAAACTTTGGCTATCCTAGCCTTCATAAATGGCCTACCCTTGAGACCACAAGATAGAACTCTATGATTAACACCTTTCTTATATCATCTAGAGTAATAAAAGAGTTGACCATCACCAGATTGAGATTTTAAATGACCAAAACCTAAATCGCCCCACTATAAGTATATATTTTATTCAGTCCTTAGAACATAATGTGACATTTTGTATTATCTACATTTCATTTAGGAAAAAAAATGAGGGTCAGAGAGGTTAATTACATTCCTAAGTTCACAGAACTAAAAATTGACACTCACAGGGCTAATGATTTCTCTGGACTCAGACCTGAGGCTCTTTTTTGTGAGTGTTTTCTCTTCCTCTCTTTGCTCTTTTTCTGACTATTATTCTTGCCCCTGCTGCTGGGTTAGGGCAAACAGGCTCATATGTGGTGGAAGATTCCTTGATTTCGTGTGGATCTGAAAACTGAATGCACAGTCACTGTGTCTATCATATGGGCAGAGTATGTTTAACCTCATCACATTCGGTCCTTTCTACTTCCTACAGCAATTTTCTATTAGTGGTTAAGTTCTTTAATTCATTTTAAAGGTTTATTTAATTCTTATTTTTACTTATGCATATGTGTTGTATGAGTCTATATGTGAGTCTGTACATGTGAATGCCAGGGCCCTCAGTAGCAAGAAACATCCAATATAGAATTAGAGGTGTTTGCGAGCTACCCAGTGTGGGTGTTAGGGATTACATTTGGGTCCTCCACAAGAGAAGGACACACCTTTAACCTCTGAAACATCGCTCCAGCCCAGTTTTCAATCTGTCTGAATCTGTCTTAGTGGTGCGTGTTAGTCAGTTTTCTGCCACAATAAATACTTGACACAATTTACAAAGAAAAATGTCAACTTTGGTTCATAGTTGTAGAGGGCCTGGTCTGTGAGGAGTTGTGCTGCTGTGGGCCTGTTCCAGATAACCATGAAGTTACGTCATACTGCAACTGCTTACCTTCAGCCAGGAAGTGAGAAAAGAGAGGAAGAAGAAAGCACTGAGGTCCCGTTACCCCACCAAGGCCATGAACAAATTGCAGTGATCTAAAGACCTCCCTCTAGGCTCCACTTCTGGGAGGTCCCATCACTTCCCAATGGCCCAAAGCAGGGACCATGGCTCTAACACATGGATCTGTGTGGCCATAAGAAATAGCACAGACTGAGTGGCTTAAACTGTGTGTGGGGGTTTATTTTTCATAGCTTGAGCATTCAAGATGAAAGTATCAGAGAATTTGATTTCCTGGAGAGGGCTCTTTTCCTGACAGGCAAGTAGCGACTGCTGACACCGCCTCCTCTCCCTTCTCTCCTTCCTCTTCCTCCTTTATTAAGGTTTATCATGGAGCTGTGGAGATGGCTCAGTGAGCACTGGCTGCTCTTCGAGAGGACCCATGTTTGGTTCCCAGCATCCACCTGTATCGATTCCCCAGGGTCCAAGGGGGCTTTGCTGTGTCCGACGTGGGATCTGAGGGGAAAAAAAAAATCTACGTACACTATGTTCTTATGTTTGTTAACTTTATTCCTCTAAGACAAAATTCCATCAATTCAGCTATAGCTCCACCAGGCATTCAAGGCAGGAACAACTCTAGACATACCAAGCTCTATATCCGTCTACTTTCTTTCTCTGGGATGAAATCCTGTCTCCATAACTGCAGTTCCATCCAGCTCCCTAGCTCATAGTCCAGCTAATGACTAACTTTTATGCTTCCAGCCTCATCTCATCCTCTGTTATCCTCTTTCTCCATCTCTGCTGCTCTCTACTCCTGGCACTCGGAAAACTCTACTCGAGATCTGCTTACCCTCTATGGAACCTCTGTCTTCCTCCTCTCTTGCCAAGCTGTTCTGTCCTTGTCTACAGAAAATGCCTGGGCACCTCTTCTGTTCCCAGCCTCCTCAGGAATGTTGTTTTACCTCTAACCTTGATATGCAAAAACCTCTTTTGTTTTTAGTCCAAATGCTCTGGAGAACCACTAGGCCTCCTCAAGGCAAGGGGATGGTCTGAGCTTCATTAGCACAGGAAACAAAGCTCTGTGTCTCCTGCCAGCTTGCCTCCTAAACTCAGCAGGGTAGTTAGTAACTTAGTACGTTCAGCAGGTCTGGAGAGCTGAACTCTTTACCAATTGGTCTGGGCACAGAAGGATTTCATAGCAGAAGACATAGCTGGAATATTAAAGGCCCTTGGCCGGTCAAAGTTCAGCTTTAATACACAACTGAATCTCTATGATATATTCTTGCGTCCTGCAAGACACCTGGCAGCTCACAACTGTCTATGGCACTAGTTTTAGGAGATCTATGCCCTCTTTTGGGCTCTGTGGGCACTAGATACGAATGTCGTGCACAGACATATATTTATACAAAACACCCATACACACAGAATTAATAAATTTTTAAAAAATCTTTACTTGCTTTTTGTTTTATATGTATGAGTATTTGCCTGCATGTATGTATGTACGCGTGTCACATATGTGCATGGTGCCTGCAGAAAAGAGCATCATATTCCCTGGAACAGGAGATACAGATAGCTGTGAGCCACCATGTGAGTGCTGGAACCAAGCCTCTCTTTCTGCAAGACCAGCAAATATCTTAACCACTGAGCCATCTCTCCAGCCCCAAGAGCCAATGCTTCACTGTATCCTCACTAGGTAGGAAAAGCCTGAGTTCTCACTGTCTTACAAATGCTCCAACCCTTTTGTGGAGCTCCCTCTACCCTCCCACTCCGAATCAGGACCTCTTCCAAATCTGGGTGCTTCTCAAAGCTCCAAATTCAAATACATCAGAGGTTGGGACTTATTTCCACATACAAACTTTATGGGTAATAGGAACATTCCTTCTATAACATTACCTATCACTTCAACAGAAGGTGGTAACATTTGATAGATACAAAATTCAGTGCTTTTATGTATGCAGGGTGATTGTTAACAGCTCCTGAGGGACTAAAATAAAAAGAGAGTAGGCTGGGGAAAATATAGTTCTACCCACATTTTGGCAAGAATCTTGCTTGCTGCTTTCTAAGTGGTGATAATTGCTGTTCAGAATTAATTTGATTTAATAAATAGGAGAATTTTGTCTAGCAAAAGAATCATTTCCTATTAAAAGCTCTAAATTTTAAGGGCATAATATTCAGTTTACTTTGGACTTTCAAAACAAAAACAAAAACTGAAGAAATAGTCAAGATCCCTAAAGTGGAGAGCACGTTTTTGGCTTTTTAAAGCTTCTATTTAGTTTAATTAAGAAGAAAAATCAGTTTTATTTTTATAAAGGTTAATTTTTAGCACCATGAATAATTAGTATGAGAAAATACACTCTTTTCTCCAACTTCAGAATTATTTATTCTATAAATTAATACATAAAACTGGGTGATTTTGACATTTCTGTATTTAAGCTGGTGAATTATTTTCCTTTTTCTCCTTCTGAAATGTCATTTTCCCTGTCTAATCAATTTCTTAGCAATAATTTTCTTAGACATAGAGACAAAGTAAAAATTCAATGAAGTCTATTTGTACAATATTCATCGATTTCAAGATCCTAGAGTTGACTATTAGTTAAAGGAACTGCCAAAACCTGCTCCTTCTATTTCATGACAACCCAGTTTTATTTAGCATATCCCCAACCAACTTGAGACTATCAGATTTCCTAGCAGCTAGACATGTCGAGGTGACAAGATGTCTTAGTTTGTGCTGTGGGAGATCCTTCTATATGATTTGAATATGTGTTACTCTCATTAGTTGATAATAAAGCTGTTTGGCCAATGGTGAGGCAAGATAAGGTTAGGTGGTACAATCTAAGTGAGGATGGAGATGAAGAAGGGCTGAGTTGGGGCAACCTCCAGCAGCTGTCCAAGGAGAAGATACCAGAGGATCAGTAAGCCACAGACCATGTGACAATAAATAGATTAATAGAAATGGGTTAGTTTAAATGTAAGAGCTAGTTAGTAATAAGCCTGAGCCATCAGCCAAGCATGTATAATTAATATAAATCTCTGAGTGGTAATTTGGGAAGTGACTACTGGGTATAATTGTGGGGATGGGACAGAAAGTTTTGCCTCTGTTTACATATGGCACCCACTGTCTGGCTTGGATCCACATAAGCCCCAAGAAATCTTTAAAAAGATTCTACTACACAAAAATGGAGCCAAGAGCAGCTTCATAAATCGTGTCTCTAGTATGGGCCATGGTGCAGAGACGTTCTGGCCACAACTTGTGGGCTTTAGCTGAAGCTTGGTGAGTTCCTGCACTCTCCAACACTGGCCACAATTCAGAGAGGCTTTACCCAGCCACTCGCCACTCTCTGTGTGGTGGATTTAGGGCTTTCGCTCATGTAAACAAAAAGGGTTAAAACAGTAAAAACAAATTCAGACAAAAAGACCTCTAAAAGGATTACAATATATTTTAAAAATATGTAGCTCTCTGAGAGGAAGAAAACAGGTAGATTAAACAATAGTAAAGTCCTTTAAAAAGGAATAGAGTAATGAAAAATATAATAAGCCTTATAAAATTGGGAAATACATTGAGAGTCTGGATTTATATTTTATTGTGTTTTCTTTGGAGTTTTTGACTGTTAATGAGCAAACTGCTGAGAGACATTTGATTACAAAAGCTGCTAAATTAGATATGTTACTTTTGAAAAGTGGTTCTGTTTTTATTTCCACAGAAAAGGAGAGGCTGTGGATTCATTCCACATTAAGAAATCAGGTTTGATGGAGGAACACCCCCCTGAAATTCTAACTACAGACATGGGAAAATAAACCTAAAGTAACTATAAGACACATGACATATATTTTACCTGCTCAGACATAAAACAAAAAATTATCTTTGGGTGGCTTGTGTACAATGCACAGTTTATATTTGTATTAATGAAGATATATGTATGTTGCCTTTAAAAGTTTATATTTTCAGAGCGAGGAAACCAGATACCAATAAAAACTGCCGGGGACCAGCCTCAGCAGTTTCAGGGGTCTGAAGGATGGGATACCTGGAAGGCGCAATAACAACTCAGAGATAATGTTTCTGCAAGCTGACAGGTCACTTCAGGCTTCGGCAGTTGCTAAGTTTCTTTTGCTTCCTTGGCTTCTCTTAGCTTCTCTTAGTTTCTCTAACTTTTCTTAGTTTCTCTTAGCTTCTCTGACTTCTCTTAGCTTCTCTAACTTCTCTTAGCTACTTCTTTAACTTCTCTTACTTCTCTTGCTTTAGCTTCTCTAACTTCTCTCTTAGCCTTTGCTACGACTTTTTTAGCTTCTGCTTTTGCCCTGGTGACCTCAGTCTTTTGTTATCATAAGAAAAGCGGGAACAGAAAGAAAAGGGGAAATCACCCAACACAAAATGTTCTCATGATTCCAAAAATTATTCTTGAAAAATCACCAATATATTCTTCATCATCTTTTACTAAACAAAGGAACCATCCCTGACTTAACACCAAAGCAAGCATAATCTATTTTTTCTTTTTTCTTTTTTTTTTTTTTTTTTTTGGTTTTTCAAGACAGGGTTTCTCTGTGTAGCTTTGCGCCTTTCCTGGGACTCACTTGGTAGTCCAGGCTGGCCTCGAACTCACAGAGATCCGCCTGCCTCTGCCTCCCGAGTGCTGGGATTAAAGGCGTGCGCCACCACCGCCCAGCTAAGATTTATTTATTTATTATGTTCTGTTTGCATGTATCCCTTCAGGCCAGAAGAGGGCACCAGATCTCATTACAGATGGTTGTGAGCCACCATGTGGGGGCTGGGAATTGAACTCAGGACCTCTGGAAGAACAGCCAATGTTCTTAACCTCTGAGCCATCTCTCCAGCCCATCTATTTTTATTATTAATGATTATACAATCTTTTGAGCACTTGACCCAAAGGCTAGCAACATGCAATTTCGCAAAAAAAGGTAAAAATAAGAACGGTGGTCAATGTACCAGACAGTCATTTCCTTCTCACACAGCCTGCTCTGACCTCAAGACCCCTGCAGCCGCCTAAGTTCCTCCTCAGCCCTCTGCAAACACCAAGCCCCATGACTGGTGGGCCACAATGACCTCAGACAAGAAATCTGTCCCTGCAAGTCAGCAACTTTTGTACTTCTATATTAACAATTCTCAGGAAGACCTGATCTAATTTATAGAGCTTCTATGAAAGGAAAGTGTTATATGAGGGTGCAGTGATGATGGTGTGCCAGAGGCCTTGAACCAGACCAATGACTCATTCATTGCAATGAACAATTTTGCAGATGGGGCTGATTGGACAAAAGGGTCTACTACACGACACACCTTGGCCCCTGATGCCACTAAAATGAGTAAAGAGGTGTTGGAAAGACAGAGGAGAGAGATGGTTTTTTGATTGTTTTTAATTTACTTTTTTGGAGGGTTCTTTGGGGAGGATGCTGCAGGGGAGAGGGGATGCTGTGGAGGGACTGGCAGGTGAGTGGGATTGGGGTGCATGATGTGAAATTCCCAAAGAATCAGTAAAGAATTATGTTATATATATTAAAAAAAG